CTCGGCCATCAGCCTGATGTTTGTCAATCGGCAACTTTGATTTAAAAAAAAAAAAAAAAAAAAAAAGACAAAACAAAACCAACAACACAGAACAAACTGAAACACCAAATTTCAGTTCTGGATGATTTAGAAAACTCAATTGTATTTTCCAGACCAAATGAAACACAACTATGTAAAAGAATGGAGTTTCTCCTAATATTTAAAATGACAGATTCACTTTGTGACTAAATAGCCTTTGTTTTACTTAAGATGCCTTCATGTAAGTCTGCCTGGTTACATGACATTTTAGTTAAAAGAAAAAACAAAACAAGAAAATCCTGCCAAGTCAACATATGTCTAGAAACAAAATTCTCCGAAAACAGTATCAAGAAGATTTCAAAAATTGTTTTGAAGAAAATATCCTCTTTTTACATCCTCTTTTAATTAAAACTGGCCATTATTTGTGCAAAATCCAGTCCAAACAACAACAAAAAAAAATCAGAGACTAAACAAATTTTGCATTTGTAATGTTGCCGTTGGGATCATCATATCTAGGCAACTGTCATTTATAAACCAACAAATGTTTCACTGTGTAGGTGTAAGCTAACACATCACTAGCTACAAATGGTTTCTAACCAGTTTGAACCAGCAATGGAAATTTCACTGAGAAATACTGAATATTGCAATTTATCAAGTGATCAAAGCTTATAGCCCCAGCAATTTTAGTAGTTCAGATTTAGCTTTTCCTTGCTTTACATGGTATTGAGTGTACCAGGCTGGGCATCACTAAGCTAGGTGTTGTGCAAGAAAAATAAAAGAATTACAGATCCCGTAAGAAGAGCCAAGTCATACCAAGCAATTACAGGGCAAAGAATAAAATAAATAATCCTCTGTAACAAAAGCAAGAGCTAGCTCACACAGTCTGAACCTAATCCTTCAGTCAGGAAAGCAATTGTGAGACTCTAATAATTCTTTGCATATTGAAAAAGTATCAGAACGTTATCATAGAGGAAAAATTCTGAAGCTTATCACAATAGCTGTATAGCTATTTAAACCTCTGTTAAGAGCTATGTGTTTTTAGAAAGTATACAAACAAGTATTCAGGCAATTCAAGTATCAGATAAGCAAAGAGGAGTGCTTAGTAAGATGTATCCTTAATTAATGTGTTTACCTAAGAACTGTACTGATATAATGTACTGAATTAATAACAGAAGCAGAGACCCACAATGGCTGCTGTCTACATGTAAATAAAGTTTTGTCTTGAGACAAAAGCAGATTACATTCCTCAATTCTGCAGTTATTATGCTAAACAAACAACAATTTGGGGTTTAGGATCCCCATTCCCCTTGCGTTTTTGCTGGGTTTTGGGGGGGTTGGTTTGCTTTTTATTTTTTTTTTTAATTAAAGGACTGACTTGTTTTACAGCATACTCTTATTTCTCAGAGCAGCACAACACAGCATCCATTTTGAAACAGCTTCAGGTTGAATTAGAAGACCTTTAAAAAATACCCCCAAAACCAGAAAAACACACACTATACCACAGCGACATTTCATTAAGTACAAGAGCCAGAATTTCTGTCTGGTGGGAAATTCTACTTTAAAACAAATCAGAATGAAAATCTTCAAAGCCAGGTTCAACATCGGTTGGCAGCACAGACTTGGGCAATCACATGTCTTTTTGTGCCTTTCCTTTCTCTGTCAGCAAAACCAACATGGACAACACTTATTTTGCCCTTCGCTAGGGCTGTGAGAACCAGTATAAGAAAAGGAAAATTCTAGTCCCTGGATATCACCGCTGTGTTATTTATTCACAGCTCAGAACTGTTAGCTCCCATCATTTCATTTATCCATCTGAAATTAGAGATGAAGGTTAAGATGACTTAGTTTTTAAACACTGACATTTTTACCCAACCATCTTGCCTTTTTTTAAATGCCATCTAGTAAAGAATTTCAAAGGGCTCTGCTTCTTTAATGAGGCATTAAAATACAGTCATACAACAAAAAAGCAACTCTACTAAGTCTCTTAAACCCCTGGACTTACATTATCAGCTTTTATGTGCCTGTCAACACTCAACAGTAAGAAGCAATGGTTTGCTCTTTGCCTCGAATTTAAAAGCCAGCTAAACTTCCTCCCACTTTCCTGCTGAGAGCTTTAACTCCTTGCAAACTGTCAAAGCTTTGACACTTCAGCAGCAGATAAATCTACGACATGATGCAACAGCCAGGTGTAGTCTCAATCAGCCACTGGCCACTAATTTACTAGTGGCCATTTCATTCACCTCACACAGCAATAAACTAGGAATACTTCCCACCCACCCCCACGTACCCACACTGCTTGTGGATCAGCCCTTTTAAAGACATGCTAGCTCTGTCAAAGAACCAGGTACGGTTAACTTGTAACTTGGAAGAAACATTTTAAATTGTAGAGATGTCAATACATGGCTAAAATGCAAAGGCATTTCCAACCCAGAAGCTGAAGTAAGAGTGCAGCATTTTTCAAGAAAAGTAAGTGCGAAGTATTAAATACTGGAACTCCTTTACCCAGAACATTTCTCTAAATATCCACAGCCTGGATGTAGCATTCAGTGTAAAAACTCATTGACACAAAGCCCATTATTAATTTGTTTCACAAAGGTGCCAAGCTAAGTGCACCTGTGGAAGAATAAGATTTGGATGAATTGCTTAGTAGAAAATGTGAAGCTCACAGCTGGGAAGCCCTATATTCTGTTTGGTATAAGCTAAAATATTTATACCATTATCTCAGTATACAGAAAAACAATGACTGCACAGATAAGCCATGCTGTTTCTTTGCAACAATAAATTGAGATACAGACTTATAATGGCATCCTTGAGATACTACACTTAACAGCAGTATAGTGAAAAACGATCCTTTCCCTTTTCTTCTGTTCCTTTCACACTGTAATTCCACAGTATACAAAACCCCTATTTAAGTCTCCTAACCTTGATAAGGACTTGATCCCACTCTCATTCAAGTCAATGGAAAAAGATCTTATAATTAACCTGAAAGACTCATGACTGAGGCACTGAGTGGCAAACTTACAAGATAGTATTGTAATAATTTATTCGTGAAAATATTAGGGGGGGTTCATAGTGGGAGGGGAGCTTTTTTTCTTATGATAGAAAATAGAAACTAGCTTTGTCTAAAGGTAACCGTTTCTGCTGAGAATGCACAACACAGACAGCTCTTACATCCTCCCCACTCCCAGGCATTTGCTGGGGTGGTAGCCACAAGGTACTATACAAAAGTTACAAATGCATTTATACTTTCAAAGGGGGAGAGGAAGTAATTAAAAAAAACAAGCTATCTGAGGTTCTGCCAATGTTGGCATGTCTCCTCTTTCAAATACCTTAAATACAGCCTGGCATAAGAGTTTCTCTCATCACTAGAAGGACTTCAATGGCCTTCAAATGCCAAACAAATCCCTTAACTCACTGTGTCAAACCCCAAGGGAAGCATTTGCCAGTAGGAAAAATACGAACAAGAATGCCAGGAGTTAAAAAGTTAAGTCGGACTGATTCAGCATTCAGATCAAACGACTACAGTTCTTCCTAGATTATTAACAAGCGCTCCAAGCAACCAGAGGCTGTGATGCAGACAAGAACCTGCACATCACAGGCATTCCAAGAACCCCGGTTTGTCTGCGCTGGAACAAAACCTCTGCAAAATATGCGTGCCCTCCTGATTTAAAAGCATGCCATCTCTCATTACCTCTCTATCCATATACATGCACAAGACTGTTAGGCACAAAATACTTCCTTCATCAAGGTTATGATCAGCAGAACTTTTTCCTGAAATTCTTTCAAATCTTTTAGCATCTGTAGTAATTTTTAAAAAGCTGTTCTAACAAGTAATATAGCACACAAAAAGCACATCTTTCACAACCTCAACAGACAACCAAAATAATGAAAAACCAAAATAGACAAAAGAAGAGACAGCAAGTCTTCTCACCAGCCGCAACTTCAAATACAGATTTTTGGAGATGGTAGAAGGAATACTATGATGCTTCAAGCAATGGTAACAGGATCTTGTCAGTTCAAATGGAAAGGGAAGGGATTTTTTAACTGAGCATAAAACATGTGTGGGAAACACTAGCAAAAGACAAAGGACATGTGAACCATACATTTCAGAAAGACAAAAAAGCCAATGTCATCCAACTTTCCTTTTACTTAAAACTGTTTAACAACCAATTAATAAAACTTGAGACATATGGATAACCATGTCCAAATGTAGCAGATTAGAAATAGCAATTTTATCCAGTGTAGGTATTTAGGGCAAAAAAATCGCCCATACTTTTTGAAGTGCAACCTCAATGTCCGAAGTTATTAAAACCTGCTAATTTCTGAATCCTTCTTCCAGACAGAATGGCCCTTATCATTAGGCAGGTGGCAGATAATCCTGCAGATATCAAAAGCTGTCTCTATAGTATCTAGAAATAAACAGTTCCCATAATCAAGTTTTAAACTGGCCTGAGTATTTCTCATGTTGTCAGTGCAAACACCACACCTCCAATGCACAGCTGAATTTTTTTGGGGGGGTGGGGGGCTGTTGAGAGGGTAGGGTAATAATGGATTTATTGCTGTAAAATCTCACAGAAGAAAGTTAAAAGGAAGCCAGCTTGAAATATAGCCAATTTAAACAAAAAATAATTCAGGGTAATTTCAGACTCAACATTCACCCAAGCCTTCTGGCAACTTTCTTGCAGTTTTACAATCATTTCCTATAGTCACCTTTCACTGCTGTTCTGAAGACCTGCACAAGCATGTTGGGGAAGAGAAAAAGAGAAGTGACAAGTTCTCCAGAGAAAACCATGAAGATGACCATGACCTCAACTTCATATTGTGCACATGTAAATGATTAAAAAAAACTCAGCCAGGAAGTTGCTTGGCACTAGTGTAGTTCCACTACCAATCACTGTGTTTCCTACAGCAACAGATGGTGAAATAGTTTGGCATAAGTAGGAATTTTCAAATTAAGAGTGTACATTTAATAACAGTCTTACCAAAAGTAACTTCTCCTTTGCCAGTCTTGTCAAACAGCTGAAAGGCTACTATGAACAATGCATCTGGAGCACACAGGACTGATTCAAATGCCACAAACTCTTGAAAGGATATCAACCTAAGGGATGAAGGAAAAAGCAAGAGCTATGAAACCACTTGCTCGCCGGAAACTGAAATACAATATAACATAGATTATACAGAAGAAGTAAGATCACAACCAAAATGTGTACAAAATGTTACCAATAGGGATTAAAATTTATCCTAAAATGCCCTATCACCAATACCATCAGGAGGCCTTTATATCGCTAGATGGAAATGACTTCGTTGAACGAGGAACTATTCCTCTCAGCAAGTCACAACAGAACATAAAATAAGCAAAGCGCTCAGCGTGGCTACTCACCTCAGCTTTAATGTCTAACTGAACTGCCCTCTGGGGGAGCCTACCTCCCTCCACTGGCAAGACAGAGAGCCAATAATGATAGGAGTAACTTCCCTCAAGACTCAGTACTTAAGGCTTTTGGAGACCTACATGCTGCCACTCACTTCAGAAGGAACCGATTGGAATGTATTATCTGTTTGCTAGCAACTTATTAGTCATCCATTGCAGCCCTCCAGTCCTGCGTGTTGAGTCACAAATTTCAAGCAGTAGTCTGCACATCACTCCTCAGCCCAAGAGCAGTTTATTCAAATTCATCATTACAGACAGGTTCCCAATACATGAGCGCAGTAGCAGAGCACAGATAAAAGCAGAAGTGCCCGTCCTTAAGTTACTTAATAAGCAGAAATACATAATTAGACAACTTGGCATTGTTTCCAGCAGTAGATTGGCTACAGCAAAGACCTTGAGCAGTTCTAATTTCTCTGGGTCGCACCCAAGAGTTCAAATGGATATCAAACTCCTATTCTTAAAGAGGCAAAGGCCAACCATTCTTCTGTTCTCCTACTTCTTTAATGTCTAGGTTGTACAGTTTAAAATGATCTTCAAATATGTGGCTGCAGGGCCTGCTGGCAGTCTGGGAGGTTTAAGATTGCCCTCTCTCGAGGCTGCTTTATGTCAGTGTAGCAAGCGCATAGCTTTAATGGGTTCACATGGCAGTAGCTGGGGAACAAAGGCTTATTTCTGAGAAGCGCAAAATTCAGTGTAACAAATGTCAAGAAACACATACAATTATTTTTTTTTTTATTAGAAACTAACTATATCCTTAGGACTTTGACTCAAAATGACACTGCAGACAGTTCAATGAAAACTTCCACTCAGTATGCAATAACAGTGAAGAGCAAAGTGTTTGAATAGGTTGGAAAAGACATTTTATCAAGTTATGACGACCCATGACTGTACAGCAATTTCCAGCCACCCTGTCTTAAGGGAATTAATTTCAAGTCACACAGAAGCGTGCTTGCTGCATGTCAGCAGCCAAACATCCATAGGGTAACAGAAGTTGATTTCCGTGAAGAACATGAAACAAGAAGATGAACAAAAGAGGACATTAAAAAATAAAAGCATGGCACAGAGAAGGCCAAAAAGCTGTTCTACTTTACCTCCCTCAATATATATGCACTAAATAAAAGAAAGCATATGTAGAGTCAGAAATAGTCTAACAAATAACTAGTTCAAGGAACTTGCCACCATAGGTTATTATGTAGTGTGAGAAATAAATAAAGAGAAACCTCCTCAGGTATTCTTAATATTAAACTCACAATTGCTGATGCCAGTAAACATATAAGCATGCCTTAAGCTTTGCTGGCAAAGAAGCCAATGACTCGCTACATATGCGCACGTTAGCACATGGGCAGGCCATCAAGTTGTTTATTTTAAATTCCTTGGGAGCCCTCAGTACTCCCAACTGTTAGACACAGAATACACAGATACTCAGTCTTTAAATGGAAGAAAACTTCCATCTCTCCTAAGCCAAAAGAAATTTTTAAAAATGCAACATTTCCTGCAATTTTAAACCAATATATCACAACCTACTTAGTTTTGCATTTATGCATATTTATTGTTATTATGTGACTTACAGGTTATAAAAGCTCATTATTATCCATTACTATTGGCTACATACCTGACAACTTCCACAACAGCAGATAGAAAGCACTGAACTCTTCTGTCCCAAAGATTATAAAGCCCACACAGAGAAAACAAAATAGACAGAAGGCAACAAGACTCTAGAATAGGATTGTTTAGAATTAAAAATCTAAAATATCTGCCAACAGCATTTTGATAAAGATGCTTTTTGTGTGAAACAACAACCAGCATATGACCTTACCAACAGATCCTAACATAGTGATGACAGCACAGAAAAGAAATATAGCACCTATCCTCACAGAATCCCAGCACCACGCTAAGAACATACTCCATGTTATCAGGCCTGGATTTGATTAAAACTCCATGTATTAACACTGCTACAAGATGTTATACTGGTAGAAGCATTCTTTGTCAGTACTTGCAAGTTATAAACCCCAACTAATAAGTCAGAGATGCTTAAAATAACCCCATATCCATTTTTAAAAACAATTATTCATAGTACTAGGAAGATTAAAAGTGTACAAATTGTGTGGTTCTAGCCAGACTGTTAAAGAAGAGACATTAATATCTGCTGTGCCAGCTGAATTCAAATTAACCCAATTTTTACATGTTAATTAAACCAGCTATTTTCTTCTTATTGTATTTTTGCTCCCTAAGTAGACTAGCCTGCTAGTGATTCCCAACAGATCTATTCTAGCAACAATGACGTATTCATTTACTTCTATTATGACCATACAATACAGTAACTGAGCAGTAATTTTTCACAGTCAATTACACGTGTGATTCTTAATGCTTAAAGATGCTGAAATAATGTGTACTGCATAGCCATATGCTCACTTCTCTGTACTGCACAAGGGTAGTTGCCTGGGTAACACATTTTCTCTCCGGTTTAGCATCACCCTTTTGGGTTTAGCACAACCCTTCACTGAATATCATTAGGTGTCATTAAACAGCACATATTAACATGGACTTCAATATACTACTTAAGAGTTATTTTATCTACCTAAACAAGTGCTCATTTATGTTACAAAAGCAGAGAAAAGCCTAGTGATTTTAACAGCACAAAGAGAGGAAGCTGAAATGTTTACAAAATTTTACTTCAATCCTGAAGATATCCTGCCCAACTGGTCAAAGTCTTCCTTCACCTTCACATCCTCGTTATCAGTCCCAATATTGGCACGATTTATTGAGGAAGGTTGAAATCTTGATATTTTAAAAACATCCATACACAAGAGCTACAGTCCAAACATAACAACTGGGTATGATGCAGCAACCCCACTATTTACTACTCTCTCCTTTCTTCCATGCTTCTTCTTTTGGTGCTCACGCCCATGGAATCTGGGCACCACATAGACATGATGCATTCCCACCAAAGAAAGTCCGTATGTAGCCATGCAAAATAAAAAAGCCATCACCCACTGTAATAATACATACAAATGCAATGATGAAGAGGTTCCTTCAGAAATCAATGCATATGTTTTTACTGTATCAGCAATTTAAACTTGATAGCATAATGGGACACAAATTGAAGCTACATCTATTATTTTATGCTGCAACCTAGGTAAACTAAGTATAGTATAAATTGATGCATTAGAGTATAAATTTATATCCAACAGTAATGGAAAATGCTGGCATTTCCAGGTGTTATTTTTGAATAGTTTGTCCTTTCTAAAAATAAAGGATACAGTATTTCTCAGTAAAGTGTTGGTTACTACAGTCCAAACAGAGATGGGCAGTTAATACTTATTTTGTTAGACAGATGTTTAAAAGTACAACAAAAGACTGAAAAACAGTATGCTATAGTAGGCAGGATGGAAAATGCCTGGCCTGTTGCTGATAGGTCTTGAGAAAGCCAGAGTATTTTGGTGAAGTTTCTGATCCAGCTGAAGCCAAATGAAGCATTGTTTTGGTACTAAGATTAGGAATGAGAAGCTTAAGGCCAGAAACCCATCAAAGCCCTTAAGTCCGTTTCATACAAACTACAGCCATGCAATATAAGACTTAAAAAAATCTGTATTATTACTAATCTACTAATTTGAAAGACTTCTCTGGCCATCGGCAAGAAAAGCATTTCCTTTTCTTAAAGGAAATCTTAAAAAGATGTTTCCGTAAGAGGTCAGAAGGAAAGTCTACCTCCAAATAACCCTATGCCCTGACTTAAGATGGAGGTAAAACTTGCTTCCAAGCAACAGATATTCACTGAATGACAAAGTCTGCCTTAAGAGGTCTCATACCTTTGTCACACTAATGGCAGCTCCTGTAGATAGCCTCAAATCCTTAATCTCTGGCAATGCAGGAATTGTGCTAGAGCTACATGAGAGATTTTGTCCACAGCAACCACAGTCAGATTGTACATAAGAGCTACTGTTCTTTACACTCCACACTCAGGAATTCTTCAGCCTGGGGTAAGCAACTCTTTGCCTATTTATTTGCTCTGCTCATGAGTCAGAAGCTCTTGTGCTGTCTGCCTTTTACCCAAGTGACTTACCCATTTTAGTATTCCTCACTGATTACACTCGGTACCTAACTTCTCATCAAAATCAGAAGGAATTAAAAAGCATTTTTAAAAGTGCTAGGAGCAACCTTGGTAGTTCTGGGCTGAGAGAGTGGTCATGCTCACCAATCATGAAGAAGAGATGCTTCTTCAGAGCAAAACAGGGATCCAAGACAGTGGATAAATGCTTCTAGAAATATCCTAGCAGTATTTTCAGAACCGCACTACTTTAAGCCACTAACACTATAACAAAATTAACTTTGTCATTGCTCTTGCAAGCTACCTTCTACTTTATACTAGAAATAAAACTAAATTATTGAACAGACTCTCATGACCTTAAACACGTGTAAGTCCCTAAACACTGACCAGCCTATTAAAAATGAAGACTAACAAAAGCAGTTTTGTACTTCACTTTAAAACCTGGAGCTCTGGACTGCCAAGCTGGAAAGAATTCAATAGGACAAGACCAGTAGGTCCTGTTGCCGTCCCTATATTTCATTCCAGGAACCAAAAAGCAATTGACCCTTGCTTCAGACGATCACTCTGCAAATTACTTTATACACCACTAGAACAAGGTAGAAATGCCTGGCCACACGGCAAAAAAATGCTACAATGCCAGGTTAGAGAGAGATGGATGCTAATCACTTTCTTAACTTTCTCCACTCTTTCACATATTAGTACAGCAGCTAAACAAGAAGACAGCCTGAATACCAGAAAAGACTCTCCAAAGACATGTTAGGAACATGCAGTCCCTTGCCACTGCACAGTCTGGACTGCAGAAACAGTCCTTACCCATGGCAGAAAGCAGCAATTAGAAGCCTCAATACTACACCGCAAAACTCCTACAAGTTCAAGCCAAGTTATGAAATCCCAACTTGTCAACAACTTCACATAGGCTACAGTTTTATGTTTTGCTCTTCCTAACACCAGCTTCTGCTTGTGAGGGAGATCCAAATCACAAGGTATGGATTATACTCTCAATCTTCTTATTACAAAATGGATTTGAAGCCATGTAATTTGGCAAATGCCGTTTTTGCAGGCATCAAACCAAGGGAAGAAATCTGAGAAATGTTTAATGTTTTCAGTCAAACGCTACCTGAAGCCACCACTTTCTTGCTGCCATCATGCTAATGTTACCAATATAACTTTTTACAGAATTCTTTCACCAAGGGTAACAATCATCACGTTAACTCGTCTGCAAGGTTTAAGGTACCCAGCTGCCAAATACATGAGGCTGGCTGAGCAGAAGAGAGCACAGAAATTATTGCAAAAGTTCTCAGTTACACATGCATCTGTTCCCTAGGAAGCCTGCATTCCCTAGTCATGCTTTATTTATCTCACATTTTATTCTCTGCAACCACTGATATGAGTCATGCCTGAAGTTTTCTGGTTTCTAAAAATGCCACAACTACAGACTTTAAGTCCATAGCTAATTATTCTGAAGCTTCTCTAAAGATACTTTAAAGGCAGGGTTAAAAAAATGCATTCATATGGGTGAAGAGACACCTTGCCCGGGCAAGTACCAAAAGCAAAAGCTAGGATTTCATTAAAGAAGGGGGAAGATGGAGTGGTAGCTAATCTTGCCTATTGGCAAAGCCAGCCTTTCAAATGCAAACCATGTGCAACCAACTTCACTGCTGTCTTCCCAAGACGGCAAAGTGGCTCCCTAAATACCTTAGTTGCTCCTCCTCCCTCTTAGGGGAAAAAACCAGTGGCAAAAACCTTTAACAGTGCTATGGCAAAACAAAGCCAGGGCACTTTTTTATACGATCTCTTCCTACACCATCTAAACTTATTTTGGACTGCTATTTGAATGTGTTTGTGACAGATACATACAGTAAACAGAGACAGAAAGACTCATGGAAGGAAAGGAAAAGCAGGAGTTAGGGGAGCCAGTCAACAAACATGAAAGGTGCAATGAGTTAAAAATACATAATAGATAGAAAATGGTTTGCTCAGCTAAATGGTACATGCAGCCCAAAACATAGTTTCTACTCTTTCCACTTAAAAGATACTGTATTCCTTTATGTATCTCCAGGCAGAAAAAAGCAAAAAAAAACCCCAAACCAAACCAAAACCAAACGCCACCACCCTTCAGGCATCAAGACTGTTTTAGAAGAATGGTTTTGTATTTTTTAAATTAACAACAGAAAAAAAACCACTTACCCATCTTTTGTCTGATCCACCACACCTGCAAGGAGCTGTACAGTGCTTGCATTAGGCAAACCATCTCCAATTATCTTCAGGTACCGTGTGACAAAGTCATTAGGAGACATGAAGAATTCACCATTCTTCTCCACACTCGCATACTGTTAAATGAATACAATATTTAGTGCCTCAAATACATCCTTCTCCAGGCATTTATTACCACCACCCATAGTTTCCTATCAGGCGGAGGCTTACGTTACAGCAGATGACAGTTCTGCTCTGAAGAACCTACAGCCTACACCCAAACAGGAAAGAGTAAGTGGGGAGTACTCAAGCAGCTGAAGGCTTAGCTTCCCAGCCAGAAGAGTGGCAGATGTATGATTTTTTTATCATGTCAACAGTTTCTCCACAGTAGTCTAGAAATGCTCCAGCACCGAATGTTTTTCTGAAGTAGAACACAAAGCACACACACATTTGCTAACATGTATGTGGCATCTCAGGCCCACTGAACTCTGCCAGCAACGGGATACTCCAGCATATCTTATTTATCTGAAATGACTCCTTTGTGTAGCCATTCCACTTCGGGATGAGAAGGCAGGTTTACACCCACGAAATGACATTGCAGCGCTAGTGGAGTAAACAAACCCACACCTGGGGTGTCCACCTGGGGGTGCTGTTTTGGAGGAACACCACCGCATCACCTTCAACCACAGCTGGTCTCTAAGTAAAGGAGAACCTACAGACACTCCTCCTTGATTGAACTGCTGAAAGGAGGCCAGAGAATAGCACTTGCAGGAAAACGTAACAGAAAACAAGAACTTCCAACAGTTCAGCACACTGCAGAAACAAGAAGAGAGGTCCAACAACTTACCAGACACTGCTGGCATATGTTATCCCACTTTATACCATAGTTACTGGCATACTAGTCCAGAAAACAGCTATCGACAGACCTAGGCATATTTGCTCCCAAGGGAAGCCTCCAGTAACATGTCACGTACCAAGGAAAAGGAATATTAAAATATTCTGAAGATAATAGATAAATAAATAAAATTGCCTTTGCTACCATCTTCACCCTGATTCCTCAGTCACCCCTCAAAGTTTAAAGCCCTCATTTTCTGTAGAAGGGTAAATTTGAAATCAACCCTAAAAATGTTTTCTAAGGAAAGAAAAAGGATAAGGACAATAATTAAGAGGAAAAGAAAACCCAGGCAACATTTGCAGAACCATGTATTAGCTTTAAGGGAAAAAGGTCTGTCTTGGGATAACAAATGTTCACTGAGAACTGGAAAGCAACTGTTAATTTTTTTTTTTTTTTTTTAAGGCAAGGTAGGATGATAAACCATTGTTGCAGCTCCCCACAGAGCATTATCCACACTGAAGTAATAAATAAATTAGATGCCTATTGCTATGTGGTAGCGTACTTCAAAAACAAATTTTGTTTTACATTGCTATGGCTCTGCTAAGGAAAGGAAACTGCCAGTTTTCATTTCGTAGAGTCACACTGGTGCCTGCAGAGTACCGTTATACCTGCTGCAGGCATATAACTCTCAGAGGGATGCCAAAGTGTAACAGTAAGTAGATTATTTTCTTCTAGTGTTATATAAATACAGTCTTCAGGTACAGCAATATCTTCAAGAAACAAGGCTTCAGAGAACCAAGCCCAAACAAAACGTAACTTGCTTTGGCATCTATATATTGGTTAGCATTTAAGGATTCCTGTTTCAATAGACACTGTTTGTAACACCAGCTTTCTATTTGATACACTGCAAGGAATTTTGAATTGTATACTTTTATAAGGACTAGCAGATCAATTGATTTCAATGTAATCATTTGCAGGGAGACAGAATCTTTCAGAATCCCAGCCTCAGAAACTTTTAACACAGCTGCTATTGAGAAACGAATCAAATAAGTCAGACAGCCTATGCTTCTATATTTCATTTTTTTCATCCAGGCTAACCCCCTGCTAGGGCACTCAATAACAGAAAACAGCATAAGGTTTCAGTGTCCCCCTGTTTCTTGTCATTGTGATTTACTCAAGTGTATTTGAAATCCACTCACGTACTCCACACTACATATAGAAAATGACCTTGGAAAATGTCAGCTTGATCACTTTGACTAAAATCTAATCTCTTAGGGGTTATGGTAGAAGACTTAGAAAAAGTAGAGTTACTCTTGGAAATTATCATAACAAAAAGAGAAAAACATCAATTCTATTGGTTTTGGAGGAGAGACATTAAAAAAATGGTTCTCTACAATTGTGTTTTTCCCCACTTTGGCAATTATACCCACTGAGAATTTGATATTATACAATAGTACTTAATGGCTTTTTGGTAACTTATTTACATACATTTTAGATAGTCAAGTATTAACCAGTTCAACCCCATTTTAAATAAGATTTGCAAACATTTTATTGAGGGTTTGATGTATTAAATACACTAAAAGTTGACTGTAATCAACTGTATTTAAACTTCTAGCTTCGTATTTATTTCTAGTATTCCTACTTGGCAATCACATTTTTTAATACTTAATCGAAGTAGAAAGAATGGCTGTCAAGTTATTTTATAAGTGAAGATTCCACAATCTGCAGAAGCAACTGTATTGGCCTCACCACTTAGAAGCAGCTTAATTAACACTCTGGCCATCGCTTATCTGTAGAGCACAAAACAACATACCACATTCACTCATCCTTCTTCCCTCTTAGTAGTAACCAGCAGGACAATTTCTGTATTACACTGAACAAAATGTTTACCTCGTATTTCATTACTTTACTTTACCGAGACCCCTTCTTTTCAGTGGAAGGGGAAGCAGAAAAGGACGAAAAAGGAGCTGGAGGTGGTATTTAGTGTGCTCAACCACAACCCGTTCAATCCACCAAAACTGAAAGCTGAGGGAGCTACAATCTTTAGAAACACCAGAGAAGTGAATACCTACAGGCAGGTAGGAAACAATTTTCACACTATTCTCAGGAAACCAACCAACCAACCAACCCACCCCACCACAACTGAGTGCTGCCTTGTATTGCAGAAGGGACCAGGATTCTCTCTACTGTGTTTACTCTCTTCCTCAATGCTGCCACCTTCTCAGGTCAGCAGTCTACTCCCTGTCTGCCTTTTCTGCTGCCTTGCTCGTACTCTTCAAGCATTTACCTCTAAAATCACATTATCCCATCCTTTTTCAAGTCTTTCTGCTCTCCTGACAGACACAAGTTCTGGGACTTCATAAGTTAAATCCTGCCTTCCTCAACTGAAAATCTGATTTCAGAGCTATAAATACTGACAGTATATGATAAAGCTATAAATACTGGCAGTATACATAGTGACACCCACACGTATTGATAATAATAGCTCACAAGGGACAATGGAAAACATGCCAAGAAGTGCATGGAGAGTGGGGTATGATGCTGGAAAAAGGGAAGGTGGAGGGAGGAACTTGGAAAGATATGAGCTCTCTGAGGCACTCATCACCTTCATAATAATAATTCAGATACAACCGCACCCTGTAGCACTGTGGCACCTACCTCAAATATATTCTCCGGGCCCACCAATTCCTGTTCTCTTTTTTCATACCAGACTACCAAACTAATACAGACACTGTACTAATAAATCTTCGGAAGGTTAGGAATAGTTATTTAGATTTAGAAAATGGGTCAAAGAAAGCCAATTTCCAGCAAAACATTAAAGCACACTTCTCCCAAGTATACAAGCAAGTACACAAGTCATTTCTTTACTTGCACACTTCTACAGCAGGCCAACACAGAAGGAATTCATCGTGGTTTAACCCCAGCCAGTAACTAAGCACCACACAGCTGCTCACTCACCCCTCCACGCCCAGTGGGATGAGGAGAGAATCAGGGAAAAAAAAAGGTAAAACTCAGTTTGAGGTAAGAACAGTTTAACAGGACAGAAAGGAAGAGAATAATGATGATGATGACAATAATAATAATAATAAAATTACAATAATCATAAAAGGATTGGAATATACAAAACAAGCGATGCACAATGCAATTGCTCACTACTCACCAACCAATGCCCAGTTAGTTCCCCAGCAGCAATTCCCCCCAGGCCAACTCCCCCCAGTTTATATACTGGGTATGACGTCCCATGGTATGGAATATTCCTTTGGCCTGTTTGGGTCAGCTGTCCTGGCTGTGTCCCCTCCCAACTTCTTGTTGCCCCTCCAGCCTTCTTGCTGGCTGGGCATGAGAAGCTGAAAAATCCTTGACTTAATATAAACACTACTTAGCAGCAACTGAAAACATCAGTGTGTATCAGCATTTTTCTCATACTGAATCCAAAACATAACACTATACCAGCTACTAGAAAGAAAATTAACTCTATCCCAGCTGAAACCAGGAGAGAGTTTTATTTAAATAATAAATATGGCCACCACTTCACAAGGTGATCTTCCCAACACTTCTACAAATTACAAAAGCAGAGATAACCCTGAAGGAAGGAAGGAAGGAAGCAAGGATGCGAGAAGAAAGTTTACCAAATGGTCTAACAGCAAGGTGTCTACATGAACATTTTACTATGTGTAGGAACAATACAGAAACTCCCACCACATTCTCCGAACAAAGCGGGTTTTTTCTAAGATAGTAATACTTCTTCTGAGTCAATACAATAATCACTCAGGAATATATCTGACTTCTTGGTGAGCATTGTTCAATTCTGATAATGGTATTTAAATCTAACATGGTAATAATACAGTGACTGATTAACGGTTGGAAAAACTATCAAGAGTTGTATGCTGCAATAAAGTAGCAAAAGATATAAAAAATTTAAGCAAAAAGAGTAAAATATTTACTTTATACATACCTTCAAAAATATTGTTTTCAACTCAGCTGGATCAGCTCTCTTGGTTAGAGCCACCTACAAGTAAATACGATTACATTAATATGCATAATCTATAAAAAAGATGTTAAAGTGCCATTTAAAAGGAAGAATTCGAACAACAGAATGAGTGATGAAAATAAACGTTCACCTTAGATAAATTAGATACTACTTTAGCTGGCCATGCTTATTTTACTCATTTCACATTTACACGAAGTTATTCAACATTTTTGTTGTAACTGCTTCCCTTATGCAACCCTGCAATTCTTAAACAAGCGCACATTAACAAGTCATAAAGATATTCAAGTATCAAATCTTTTCAACATACCTCTCTGCTGGGATTCGGCATTATACCATCTTTACCATATAGATTTTTATACTTCCAGCATCTTTCACCTAAGGATTTCAGAGTACCATACGCAGCCCCCAGCTGATAGATGGCAAGAATAAAATACTCAGACTTACAAACTTGTCCAAGAAAACAACTCCCTAAAAGACTGAATTCCAATGTAATTATTTGGTTTATTGGTACTTCTACTTCCTACTTCTAACATTTTAAACTATTTAAATTTACAGTGTAGACCTTTTTGATGAGATGAATTCAGGAAGCACAGTATCTACACTTTTCTGCAGATCAGACAACTAGCCAGTTTCCAACTAAAATCTAAGTTATACATATACATCTAAGATATATATATATACAGAGAGAGATATCTCTAAGATATAGAGAGATATATATATATCACCACAAACCCAAAGAAATAGGAATTTTTTTCCCCAAAACACTCAATTAAAAAACTTTCTATATCAACTATGGAGAGTAAACCCATCACTATTTTCCTTGTTGACATACCATGCCATCCATTTGCTGCTTTTGGCAGTAAGTGGATTCATCCCCTCAGTCTGTGCCTGCTATAGAGTTTCCCTTTCTTCCTTCAGGATACTTTGATAAAATCTTGCTTGCCAACATAATAACCATCACCTGGTAAGTCCATTCAGCACATAAATCTATTTCTAATTAAAAAAAAATTACTTTGCAAGCAAACCTGGATTTTCAAAAAACTTGTGAAAACATCTCTGTAATGGGGAATAAACAGCCAAAGGGCAAGACACAAAAATCTTACCCTCACCTAAGAATTAAACATCAGAAATGTTATCAATGAAACGTGACCAACTACTTTCTTGACTCTCCAGAGTAATGGTAGACTGTAAAAGCGAATGTGACTGCAAGGGCACTTCTAGTAGCACACTAGACTACTGCAGAAAATGGTAGGAATCTGTATAAGTCTGTACAACAGCATTATATCCTCACACGTATATTTAATGAAGAATCTTTAGTATGGGTCATTTAAAAATTTAAAAAAAAAAAACTAAAAAAAAAAAAAGACAACAAAAAAAAATCCCCACAAAAAAAACCCAGAGTATTTTAAGAAAAGTGTATGAATAAGGTTTCTTATAAAATTCTAGAAGGTTTTTTTAAAAAGGAAAAACCACACCTGAAGTTATGCTAGGACTCAAATGACCGAGTCCACAGCTGGAGTCCCAATTCTGTGTTTGCACGGAAATCCGTGTGGAGGCAGTTGCAAAAAATCAAAGTGTAATTGTGAAACTGGGAATCTAAAAATGTGTATTTTCTAAAGTACCAGCTGTCCTAAATGTAATCACTGTGTAGTAAGCAGAGATTTAATTTAAGCCCATTTGTAAAAATCTGGTACTCTAGAGTAATTGGGAACTGTGGAAAGAAAAAAACCCAGCATTTCTATACTGCTGCAATCCAGAATCTTGCCACTATACAGGCAAACAAAAGACACTTCAAACACCTACAGGCATTAAAAATAAATCAGTATCACACTTCATCTGTCTTAAAGTTTAAATTTTATACTGTCCCAGAAATCTAAGCCTAAATAAACCAGGGATGAAAAGAACAAAGGAAAGGGGTACATGCTGATAGCTGAACTTACACTCATTTTCCTTTGGTTTCACTGACATTAATATTTTGAGAAACTCAGGAGACAAAATATGCTCACAGCCCAGCTGCCATTTTTCAGCCCCCTTTTGATTATGGGTTGGTGGGTTTTTTTACAGCAAGTTTCTTTCAAACCATATACTGAAAGGCAGGCTGAAGCTGGTCAGGTCAATGAATGCATAGAGGCACTGCAGAACAGCAGCCCAAGCAGTGGCTGTGGACCACAGCTTCCCTCCATTTCCCGCAGTCTACTTCCACATTCTTCCATTTCCCGGGAAATAGGATAGGAAAGGGATGGTTAGCACCACATTAATTGGTTTGTCCATGTGTCATCCACCAATGTCCATTCTGAAAGGTCTATTTGACCCTAATTAAGGAAAAGAGCCTCTATTACATTATGTTAACAGCTTCAGGAGGGCTGATGCTAATGCAGCCATACTAGTCCTAAAAGGAGAAGTATTTAATTTAGCCTTTCATCCATCCCCAGCTGTGGGCAAAGCTGAAGCTGCACACACAGACACAAGAACTGATCCCGATGACAGGCATTACTAGCAGATTCCCCTTCTGGAAAAGGTCAAAATATCACTTTCAATACCATTCCAAAAATTGTTCCCAGTTATGTTAGCAGTTGAAGGTGGGCTAAGTAACCTGATGCCAACAAGACTGCAAGCCAACAGGTAGTGTGCCTGATGAAAAGTGACCCACAGACACAGGCTGCTTCTCCTTCAGTCCACTCAGATGATATTTACTGACTTTCATATAACTGGGCTTAGGTGATGAGTTTTGTTACTGGAAAGCCTTCTCCATTTTACTTTATCTTCTCTCCATAAGAAGCCTGAGAGAAAACCAGCTATGAGCTGGTAGGCATGACATCTGTCTAGTTGCCTGAGAAGGCATTTGATAAAACAGATCTGAGGGAAATGCTTATTACTGCTCTTCACAAAGAGATGCTTTGTAACAGACACTAACACTTAAAAAAACCCAGTAACTTTTAATAAGTAAGGTTCAGTGAAGAAATCTCTCCAACAAACATTTATTTTTAGAAAAACAGGAGACAACAGGGAGTATAGAAACTAAAGTGCAGGATTATAACACAGTCAGGAAATGCTACAGAAGAGACTGGGATAACGTACAGAAAATGTCAGCAGGGATTTTCATTCCTAAGGTAGATACTTGGAAGTTTTAGCCAACATACTATGTGTACATGTGCATTATAATGTATACGAAGAACCAGCCAGCACAGGCAATATAAGAACCGAATTTAAAAACGCCGAAACCCTCCCATTAGCAATGACGTTCAGCAAAAGGAGACAGAGGGTGCACAGAGAAAGGGAAAGCTCTTTAAGTGAGGAACAGTAACACACGGGTTGATTTGCATGCTGGAGCTGTTCATATCCTTAGACTCCCTTGCACCTTCATCTTAATTTCAGCCCATTTTCTCCAGCAGAGCTCTTTTCTCCTTGCTGACTTATGCTCAATTTAGAGTGACGTGCATTTTCAGTCTCACTTCCACCCTCAATAACAAATGCAAACTGACTCTTCCCAGAAAAATATAACTGTACAACAACACAAGAAAATAGAATCCATTGGGAATCAAAGAAAATTATATTACATTTCCAATCAACTCTATTAATATATTTGTCATACACATGGCAGAAGGAACAGGTTGTCAGATGGTATATGGTATCAAGAGATACAAAGGACTAATAAAGTAGTGAGTGTGCTCCACCCAGTAAAGAACAACAACACAGGTGGGCAAGAGAGAAAAAGGGCAGCAGGAACATCAAAGTTAATGCCAATATAGCATTAACCTAATGGCAAACATAAGATGTCTGATCTTCTCACCTTTATGGTAAAGATCACTTTAGTAGCCATCGTTTGGATAGAGGAGAAAGGTGATGGGGATCCAGGAATACTTGGGAATTGCTACAACATTCCAGAAAGTTTATTGGGACAACAGCAAGTCCTAACTAAAGATAAAGAGATAAACATCTCTCATGTTGTTTCTTCCTCACAGTTTGACCTTCAAGCGTGAAGGAGAAAGTTGATGGAGGTAAAGATGTCCCCCTCTACCCTGATGATCTTTAAAAACTCCTAACACCAAGCAGGTAAGATGCTGGAGAGCAGCCATTCTCCAAGCAGAGAACCAGAGCTGTGGCAGGGCTGCCTTGCTGATGGGCACTAGTGAGCTCAATCTGTTTAATTCTAGAGAACACCATCTACAGGCACATACAGAGAGAAGATGTTTGATGAAAGGCCTAACAAGTGATCACAAGCTCTAGTAGTTTCATGTTGAAATGTAGACTATTTTTTAAAAGTTCTTCCATTCTTAAACACGACTAAAGAATGCAATGTATTTGGCACCACTAAAAGACCTCAAATCAAGATTGAAACCTCATGTATTCTAGAGGTATTCTTTAGTTTCATCACAAGTTATTGAGTCCACCTGTAAGACTCAAACACATGTGGCCCAGTTTATTTAAGAGGTCAGATTAGATCACCGTAATGTTTCCTTCTGGCTAAGAGTATACATACACACTCAAAATGTGCCACTCCAGAGGAGATCAAACCAGGGTTTGACCTTACATTCCTGCTTAAATGAGTGACTGGAATATTGGAAACCAGTTAAAGAGCAGTTACTGGCCAAGACGGAATTCAGACCAGAAGTCTATTAATACTGTGTAAGTATTATGCTAAAACAATGCTCCAGTTTGTATATTAATAAAACTAACTTGCTTACTTAGATGAGAATCACCCTTCTTCCATATTTACACTAGTACTACCACAAACATACACGATCATTCTTCTAACCTAGCAACTCCCCTTGGTCAGCTTCCATCATCACATACAGCATCATAAGTTACAGCAGTGTTCTGCATCAACATCTGTCCAAGGCACTGTCTCCTGTTTCAGCTGCCCCAATAACTGTTTTTTATTAGCCCAACAAGCTTCAGCATATTCTCACCTCAGCAAAAGCACTGCCATTCCTTCTGCTCAACAGAATCCAAGTAAAAGAACTTGACTGTGATCTGCAATGGAAAGTGAACTACACAGAACTCAGCATCACGGGAAAGTTTGCAAGCAAGATGTGGACCAGCTCACCAAGCAGGGAAGCAGACAACTGCAAGGAGAGCTGGCACAGAATGCAGATCAAATAGACGTTCTTGCCAGACCTCCCTAACGGTAAGCTGAGTATTTCTCCTAGGAAAATATAATCAGATGGCATTTGGCATACCCACCCAAAGGCTTAGGGTAAGAAGCACTGTAAGAGAAGCTGGTAACTACTAAGCAGGTACATTCAGCCTGATCAGTTTGAGCACAGTCACCTTGAGACAAAAACATTTATTTTCTAAAAACAGTTCTCATCCTCAGAGTCGAACATTACAATTACGTTTTGCAAAAGTGTAACCCTACACTAAGTAGCAATTACTGCATTCTTTTATCCAATAACACCTAGCTAAGCTAAGAAAAAAAAATGTTATTAACACTAATCAACAAAGTCTTTTTAGATCCTACAGGCTGATTCAGTATGCAGAGCTACCAAATAAACATTAATGCAACTAGACAGTTGCACAGAGACTACTCCATCAATGGTGAAGCAGAACAAAATTTGCTAGCTAACAGACAGCAAATCTCAGGCAAAACTATTCGCATCTATCTTCACTCTGTCACAATTATAAATCCTGGGCAATTCCCAGTTCAGCTTCCACACCATGGTAAGTGGAAGTCTCACCTCCCCCAAATGCATCAAAGCTAACAGACTACTTCATTGGGCAGTCAGCTGCTAGCTTTGATTCTACTTTCAAAGTCCCAAAGCAAATGCAGCTGGCTTGTTCATAAGATGGTTCTTGCACAAGGAGATTCCCAATAAACCATAGTATTTTTGCACACAACCTGACTCAGGACCAACACACAGTTATCAATTACATATACACAGGAAAATGCTTGTCCAGTTTGTCCAATGCTTCCAAGTAGGTACAGAAACCAATGTGAGAGTAGTGTATATCTTAAGGAAAACTGCTACAAGAATTTCCAAGAATAGCTAATTAATGCTACGTAAAAAGACATTTAGGCTGTGTACTTCTACAATTTTCCTACTGAAAGACCTGGAAAACAGAAGGACCATAAAATTAGCCCGATACTAAGGTAAAAATAGCTAGGCATTGTCATTGCTCAGCAAAATTGTTTAATAAAAGCAAAAAGCATCACACTGTGACCAACACTATCGACTCCAAACTCTAAGCATGCATCAGAAGATGCGGTTAGGAACAAACCGGACTATTAGTTTGTAGTCAGCCTCTGGACTAGGACAAGGATGCAATTGCTGTAATTCCTACAACAAAACATGATGCACTACACGACAGTGAGAAACTGAACCTGAAACCAACTCTTTGTGAAAAACAGAAATTTCTCTTTCACTTGTCGTGTTGGTATCAGAAAAAGCTCAGCCCTCCAATCACTTTCCCTACCTACCTATCATAAACTGCTACAGTACTCTGACTGCATCAGCCCATCTTCTTCCTCAAATATTTCCTATTGTCTCACATCTCCTCTGTAACATGTTTTCACTCAGATGATCTTCAGGACTGTGATGCAAAGACACACAAGCAAGCTACTTCGCTATGGCCTTTATGTAATATTTACATATCCCCATGTATCTCAGCAAACTAGAGCTCACCACTCACTTGAAAAAATGCAATAATTATACATGTCCTGGTTTCAGCTGGGATAGAATTAATTTTCTTTCTAGTAGCTGGCATAGTGTTATGTTTTGGATTCAGTACGAGAAGAATGTTGATAACACACTGATGTTTTCAGTTGCTGCTAAGTAGTGTTTATATTAAGTCAAGGATTTTTCAGCTTCTCATGCCCAGCCAGCAAGAAGGCTGGAGGGGCACAAGAAGCTGGGAGGGGACACAGCCAGGACAGCTGACCCAAAGTGGCCAAAGGGATATTCCATACCATGTGACGTCATGTCCAGTATATAAACTGGGGGACTTGGCCTCGGGGAGCAGATTGCTGCTCGGGAACTAACTCGGCATCAGTCAGTGAGTGGTGAGCAATTGCAT